GAGAATTTTGCCCCAAGTTTTTGTATAATCCTTGCAAAAAAATTTGAGTCATTGCCAGTGATAATTAAGTCATCAACATACACCAAGAAATATGCAATAGTTGACTCAACAGCATACACAAATAATGAAGAATCTGACATGGTATTAATAAAACCAAATTCCAATAGGGCCTCTTTGAGAGCATAATACCAAGCACCTGGCGCTTGTTTAAGACCGTATATTGCTTTTTGAAGGCAGCAAACATAATTAGGTTTTGATTGATCCCGAAAACCTTGGGGCTGTGTCATGTATACCTCTTCCGTAAGATGACCATGAAGAAAAGCATTATTAACGTCTAATTGTCTTAGTGACCAACCTCACATCACAGCAAGAGATAAGACTGTTCGAATTGTTACTGGTTTGACTATAGGACTGAAGGTTTGAGTATAGTCTAATCCAGGTCTTTGATTAAACCTTTTGCCACTAATCTGGCTTTAAATCTATCAATTGATCCATCAGCTAGTTGTTTTACCCGAAACACCCACTTGCACCCAATAATATTGCATCCTTTGGGAGGTGGTAACAGACGCCAAGTATCATGTCGCATAAGAGCAATGAGCTCAGATGACATCGCATCGTGCCACTTGGGATCAGTTAAGACTTGAGTCACCGAAGTGGGTTCCAAAGAGGGGGGTATAGGGTGCTTGGTGACCATGAACAATTGTTTAGATTCGTAAATGTTGTTCATAGATCTGGTGACCATATTGTGGGTGCGAGGTTTAGTATTGGTGGGTACCTTAGATGCATGATTCACATTCATATTTTGAGAGTAATTTTCTGGTGAATCTAAAGGGAGTGAAGAAGGTTGACCTACCTGGGAAGGAGCCATTTAGGGAGGCGAATCCACCAAAGAGAACAGAGGAGTAGCTGTACCCATTGCTGAGACATTTGGTGTCGGCGATTGTTCATGATGTAGTGTCGACAGAGAAAAGGTCACGGTTTGAGGTTTTTCTGAAGGGTGAGATTTGGGTTGAACCATGGGAAATATTTTCTCATCGAAAATCACATGTTGGGAGTTATAGATCTTTCCGCTAGTGGGCTCAAGACATAAATAAGCATTTTGGATTAGGGAGTAACCCACGAAGACACAAGACACAGCTTTGGGCTGAAGCTTATGAGTATTGTAGGGCCTGGTCAAGGGGTAGTAAAGGCATCCAAACTGCTTTAATTTCATGTAGTTGGGAGTCTGATTGAATAGCATCTCAAAAGGTATTTTATTGTACAATGTGGAAGTTGGCTTTCGATTTATCAAGTATGCTGCAGCTTGAAATGCATATGGCCAAGAGGAAAGAGGCATATGTGCATTAGTGAGAAGAGTAAGGCCAGTTTCAACAAGACGGCGATGTCATCTTTTAGACATGCCATTTTGTTGTGGGGGTGTGGGGAGCAGTAGTGTAGTGACCAATGCTATGAACCAATAAGTAATTTTTGAGAGCAATGTATTCACCTCCATTGTCAGAATACAGGCTCTTGCTTTTAGTGTTGAATTTATTTTCCACAAGATCTCAAAATTGAGGAAATATAATTTGAACGCTTGATTTATGAGACATAGGATACAACCATATATATTTGGTATAGTGATCAACAAAAATAATGTAATATTTTGAACCATCAATACCAATATCATGAGGGGGGACCCCAAACATCTGTATAAATTAATTCCAGTGGTGCCGTGCTATTTAAGCCATGAGATTGGAACATTTATCGGTGAGCTTTATTTGTGAACATGAAACACAAAGAGATGAACTTTCTGTTTTATTAATAGGCAAAGAAAAAGTGCAGATAAGATGTTGAACAATTTTTGGAGTGCGTTCATGAACATAAGCAATGGCGGGTTTGGAAACCGTAGCCATTGTTTTCGGCAAAGGGTACACGTCATCCTCACATTCGCCTTTGAGTAGTGTCGCCCCCGTGATCCGATCCTTCACAAAAAAATGAGAGGGATGAAATTCAAAGTAGACATTATTTTGTTTGGTAAAATGATGAACCGAAATCAAGTTTTTTTTAACGCTGGAAACACATAGGGTATTTCTCAAATGAAAAATACGGTTGGGAGAGGCAAAAGATAATAACCTAATATGAGATACAGGCAAACCTGATCTGTCACCAATCACCACTTCATCCGTACCGTCATATTCAAAGTGGATTGAAAGATTTGAGAGATCAGTTGTCATGTTGTGTAAAGCAGCCGAATCCACTAACCATTTCTGATCTTTATTTTTGGATGAGGCAGCACAATTTGCTGAGAAATCATTCTGAGTATATTTTGGACATGTTTTAGCCGTGTGACCCAACTGATCACATAGCTGGCACTTGGGCTTATATTTACGAAAGCCAGGTCCATTGTTGATGCGTTTGTTGTTGTCGCGGCCTTTGGAGAAAGATCGATGTCCATGCGTTCCAAATGAGAGTTACTTGCGCTGAGTGTAGTTTGTTGTTGCAACCAATGGCTGCGCAGCTTGTTGTTCCAGGCGTCTGAGATAGTTTTCATGACTGATTAACAGTCATGGAGCTCCTCAAACCGTAGAGGATTTTCTCGAGCTCGTATAGGGGCAGCAATTTCCCTATATTCAGGACCCAGACCTTTTAGGATATAAAGGGTCAGATAGTCATCGGCAATAGGATGATCAATCCTGGCAAGTTCATCAGCTATAAGTTTGATCGCCTGGAGAAATTCTGTGACAGTCCAATTGCCATGATTGTTGAGAGTGAAATCCTCCTTCAGCTGCATCGCACGAGTACTAGATTTTCCTGCATAAAGACGAGTTAGTTTGTTCCAAGCTTCATGAGATGTTTTACAGTAAGCAAGCAATGGTATGATTGTGGTGGATGTGGAGGCTAGCAGGGCATGAAGGATCAGTTTATCTTGGCGAATCCAGTGGGAATTCGCTGCTTGGAAGTGGCCGATTTTTCGGCATCAATAGCAGGGCATTGAAGGTCACCGGTGACAAAATTCACGAGATCATAGCCAATAAGCAATGCTTCAAATTGTGCTCTCCATTGTGGGAAGGTAGATGGCGTAAGCTTCTCCTTGATGGTAGTGGGGACATTAATGGTTATGATCGGGTTATCAGCGGAAGAAGAAGACATTGTTGATGATGAAAAATACTTGTTAGAGATTAGAGGCTCTAATACCATAAGAAAGAAATAAGCACCGCTTTGTATTGAATTTTTGTACACATCATTCATATGCTAAAGCTGGTTTATATACACAGACAGAGTAACTATGTATGGAAAGTGAATAATGAAAATATTCATACAATGTAAAAACCGATCCTTGATTCTGGCTTGCTGCTTGATTATAGCTGATTCTTGATTCAAGCTTGCTGCAATCTTGGCATATCAGCTGTCAAGATGATGACAGTTCATTTTTCCTTGATAGTTACAAGAATAGGTGTAGACTGAAATCAACATGAAATTAGGTTGTCAAGGACTATTTGATTCCCTCGAACCCTTAATGGTGAAAAAGGATTCGCGTAGCCAACTTCAAGTCTATCGAGAATAAGACTTTACTAGTTGTAGGTTTAGAGAAATTTTCTTTTGACTAAACATGTGTTGGCATTTGATTTTGACATTGTTTTCTATGTTTGAATGAGTCTTTCAACAGATGATGTTATTTCTGTATAAAACATGCAGTTTCCATTTGAAAGCTTGCTTCAGCTATTATTTCCATTTTCCTGAAGCTTGTACCATACACACAAATTTTCTTCCAGTTCACTTTCATAATTGCAGTTGTTTTACTAGTTGAAATTATGTCTGACAAATAAATTTCCGTCCTAATAAATGAGTAATTTGCTGAATGATTTCAGAATGATTGGAATATTGTAAAACGAGGTTGGGATGCTCATGTGCTAGGAGAAGTATCTCACAAGTTTAAGAACGCTGTTGAGGCTGTCAAGAAGCTGAGAGAGGCTCATGTTGGAACTATTAATGAAATTTGAACTTTATGAACTTGCCAAGATCTTCATGTCAAATAATCAAGAAACTGAATTAACGCGGAACATACCTTAATCCATTGATTTCTGACTTGAATAATGGATAATGAATCTTGATCTATAAATCTTCAATTTGGTTGCTTCAAACCTCCTTCTTGATCCTGATTGTGGGTTTTTTAGATCTTCCTCTTTATATGTTTTCTCTTGTATTCTTGTATTGATGGGATGGCACAAAGAATGAGAAAATTACATATGAATTGGGGACCATAACCATTTATATATTTCCATATATATTCGGCCCATCGTCAAATACAAACACTAATGGATCCGGTCTCTACACATATAGTCTGGCCCACACTATAATTAGATGCTTAAAACTCAATTACTTAATTCTTAATTAGATCACTTTAATTTTGGGCTTAACTTTAAGATAGCATTT